TAGGTCTGGAGGCCATGCAGGGTTTCTGCAGCAGAGGGAAATGTCACATGCAGGGGATCTTCTGCAAAGGCAGACTATGGGGCAAGCATGTGGACCCTGTGCTTTAATTGTGCTGATAGGTGTTGTGACTGATGGTCTGGGCAAGTAGAGGAGGTCCTGACCTGGTGTTAGAAGTCTGGGAAGGGCAAAGAAGGAACCACAGGCCAGATCAGAAAGTACATGCAGGTTGCTCTGCGCCTCCAGCCCATCTTCTGGTGTCCACTGATTCTGCAGGCTAAGCAAACTCTTTTGTAATTGTAAGGGTAAGCTTTTCCCTAGGAAGAGATTAGGGGAAAATCTATCGGAAGACCTAGGGTCTTCCTGAATGCCCTATACTTGATCCCGTATGTGTATTTTTTGTCAGGAATCGGGGGGAAAACTAGAGACACCTGACAGCATATTAAGTGTGCACAAGTCTGACTGGCATGTTGGTAGAGCATGCAGGGACCTCTTGATACTGGATCTCCACCATTTATTTACTGGCTAAATACAGAATGGCTTCTTAATCCTTACTTTTTCTTGGCTGGCTGGTTAACTGAATGGTCATTGCTGTATCTATGTGTTGCATAGGGCATATGCCTGGATTCAGGATGTTATTCCAAACATGCATTACTTGTTTCAGTTATCAGACATCCCCTTCTGATGATAGCTATTTATTTGTGGTAAGGTGGCAGTTTGAGTTTGCACCTGAGTTACTAGACAGCTGCCAGTTGTGCCCTGAAGTTGTAGGCAGTATGCATCTCCCCTGATGTGCTCCATGTAGTGTAAATTTTGTGCTTGTTTTGTGTATGTTGGTGAAGAAGTGTAGAAATGCTGAATGCTAGACAAAAGTAGATTTCTGGGTGATGAAGAGAAGTAAGCCTGATGCCTCTAGGCTTAAAATTGCTGTATATTCGTGTATATACCTCTACTGGAAAACTTGAAGTGTACACAATGAAAAGATTGGATGTGAAAATTGGTTGTCTTGCACAAAAACCTCTCCATGACTGTGTTATACTATTTGTTGCAGTTGAGGGAATTCTTCCTACTTTCATGGAGTAAGTGCTTTATTAAAAGCAAGAGATTGCACTTTAAAGAAGATGGATCCAGTACTGTCAGGTATAAATCCCCATTCCATTCAGCATACCTGTGATACTTTACATCACAGAAAACTTACGCTATGGTGATGAATTCTTGCAGCTTTTCTTAATCTAGACAGAAACAGCATTGCTGCTTTAGACAGTTCCAGGTAGGTGCCAGGAGTGATCACTGATACCTCCTCTTGGCTCAATATTTTACTTAAGTGATGCACAAAAGCCTGCATTGGGAACTAGCTGGGATTTGTGTCTTTTGGCACTGCAGTGCTAAATGGCCAGTTGTATTTCCCAGCTATGTTGAACTTAGCAGACTAGTCTGAAGTGGAGATACAGATGGGCTTCAGCTCCTAATGAGCTGGGAGTGTTTGATCTATCAGTTTTCTGCATCTCTGGCTGACAGATCTTGCCTGTTGTCAGCTGGAAGAAGATCTGAAAGGGTGCTAACCCATTTTCCTCTGAGATTCTTAGTTTGCAGAGTATTTTCTGATGCATTAGTAATTCAAGTGGACCTAGTTAACTTGTATCAGCAGTGAACCAAATACGTCAGCCTCTCTGGATCAAAATCAGAGACAGCTGTAGGCATCAACAGACTTGTATTACCCAGTCTGTTACAGATGCTGTGGCAGAGTAGGTCTTTGAAGCTGTCACCCCAGTGTGGCTGGAAGAACTGGGCATGCTTCAGGTTCAGGTTTTGTGCATTTGGGTGATCAGCCCAGTGTTAGGCCCGGTCCCCTAGTTTAATGTTGGGACTTAGCTGGTAGTGCCTGCATCTGGGTCAGATTTCCCAGTCTTCAGGCACGGTCTTTACAAATAGGTATTTTTGCTTCATTTGAAACCTGTATGCAAGCAAACTGACCTTATTTGAAGGCCAGAGCATTTGCTTTGTTCCCAGTAAAGTTTAGCCAGAGTTCAAGCTGACAGCCACAGCTGAGTCTTCCTGGCTGCACAGGCTTCTGATGATCAGCTGAGATGTGTTAAACGATCAGATATGTGCCATTATCTTACTGCAGTTTGCTAGTGCGATGTGAACCCTACAACCTTTATAAAGCAGTATTTCTGTGTTGTGGATTCTGCAGACAGACTACAATTGAGAGGGACCAGTGTCTGGATTTTGGCTGACATGGATTAAACCAGCTACCCTGTGATTAGCTCAGGCATCCCACAGACTGCTTCAAATTTTACTCTGTGCAGAGGCAGAATGTTAAGGCATAGGAGTTGGGTGTATTTCCATTGATGAGAATGCCAAATGTCTCTGGTTCTCCCTGAGATCCTTCATCCACAATTCCTGTGGCACTTTATACTCGTGGATTTTGGTAGTTTGAAAGGTAGTTTGTTGCCAAGAGTTGATAGTATTGTAGAGGGGGGAATATAGAGTGGGTACTCTGAACGCCCTTCCAAAGATAAAATCTGTTGCGTAACTACCAGTGATTGTAGAAGGCTGTGCCATCCCTTCCTGTCCTCTGCTTCCATATGCTGAACTTGTCCAGTGTCTGCAGGATTGGACTTGGGCAGAAAGGCTTATGTTTTGTGGAATGATGGAGAGCATAGCAAAGCAAATGGTGGTCTGTCCACAGACCAGATTCTTGTGGAAAAATGCTTGAAAAGAGCAATTTTTGTAGTGTTCTGTGAAAGATTTTTGCACCAAGTCACATAGTGCCTGTGCACTACGTGAGTAGCAATCCAGGTTGCTTAGTAGGGCGAGTAAAAGCATTGTTGCCAAATCCACTGAATCCTGAGCAGAAACAGGTCAATGGAGAAAGTAGAAAACAGGGGTGATAATATTCCCTACTTAGTTTTGTCGCTGGATTACATGTTAGTTGTAGCTTTAAATGTGTAATACTGACAGGCAGAGAAGGTGCTGCCCCCGTATCCAAGCCTGTAAGCAAAGATGTGCTTTGGGTTCGTGAGCATGCGTGCACAGTCCTTGGCAGCCAGGTCCTCTAAGGTTGTCCACAAAGGGCAGGTTTTTTCCCTGCTGTGCTTGGGCTATTAGCCTGTCAAGTCCCTCACTCTGAGTGTGTCTGGGAATTCACTACCTACCAGCCACATGTGCGTGCAGCTGGAATGTGTTAGTGTCAGGGTGCTCCAACCAGCAGGAAGCACTGGGCAAGGGTCTCCTGTTGGATCAGTTGGGCATCCCTCTGTGAAGGAGCATCTGTAGAGGTCATGTCAGTGAATTACAGCAGTACCTAGCATAAGCTAATGAGCCCATGCTGACTGTACACTCAGCTGCCTGCATGCTGACATGAGGTGCAATTTGTAGGGTTTTGTAGGCGTCTGTTATTGTTCTTTGCTTCCCTGTACTGGCACTAAGCAGCACTGCTGTCCTGTTGTGATACTACGGTGTAATTATCTGTAGAACTCAGCGTAATGGGTTTAATTGTTTTTGTTAGTCATGTTAGGGATTTTTTTTTTGTAACACAGACCTATATTATTAGAGGCAAGTTTTTAATCTGCAAGTCATTGTAATAATGGAATTTACTTTTGGATGAGACTTAAAGGCCACAAGTGTTCATTAGCTGAAAGCTCGCATCCAGAATTGACATTTATCATCTAGTCCTACTCCAGTGTAGGACTGGTCAGAGCATTTCCTGAGGAAGTCCTGTGTTTTTAGCACATTTATGGATTCTTGGGAACCTTTTCGATGCAGTTTGCAATCAGACATGCAACTGGGAATCATAGGACTAGGGTACTGGTATGTGGGACACGAGAATCAAAAGCATGTGTGTTCCCAGTTTCACAGATGTTGGAGGGAATGGTTCTCTCGCTGTGTGTTTGGATTGGCTGCTCTCTGTCCTGTTAACATTGAGCCTGTCAACAGAGTGCATTCACGTACATAAATCAGAATTAATTTGATGTGGATTAAACTAAATTCCTGTGTGGACACTTACTCAGAATGAAACAACTCTTAATCTGAAGTGGCCTTAAACTCAAAAGTAAATTAAGCTATGCCAAATTAATTCTGGAAAAAAAGGTTTAATGAGTAATGTGCTATAATCTCACCTTTCCATTTGATTGAGTCTTCCTGGGAGTCTCTTTGTACCAAGCCTATACCATGCTATTATTAATAACCACCAAAGAGATGAATATGTTTTTAACCATTTATACTTTCGCGTACTCTCACAAGGTGCATACTGAATGCACCCAATTCACAACAGTGTTGGAGGCCAAGTGGTTACAGGATCTGAACACTGACTCAGCAGCAATTTTCCATTCACTTGATCCAAATATGAATGGCTGCAGGGTCATTCTTAGTCACTTACCTTCAAGGAAATGGACATTTCTCCCTTGCCTGTTAAGTGCATAACATTTTCTCCTACAAGTGGTGGTGTTGACTGGACTTCAAAATGAAGGCTTTCTTAATTTGGCAGAAGGCTTTTCACCATTATAAAATAAATATGGAAAGAATATTTTTTTTTAAAAGAAAGGTTGAAGTTTATGGTTCAGTCTCATTCCGAGGGGTCTCTAATTCAGCTTTCAAACCTATAATTTTTTTCCTTGTTCTGGGCTGTTCTTGCTCTCGGAATTTTTGGGCAGGAAGGAAGAAAATTGTTGTCCAGAGGGTATTGCATTCTTTTGTGCCTTGGAGCTCTGAGGTAAGAGACAGTGAGTCTGAATTTGAGCTTACTGAGCCCCATGAGACTTGGCTGGAGTGCATGATGTAAGAAGGCAGTGGTGGGGAGTGCCATGGGGGGCTGCAGGGTTACACAGGGTCACAGAGTGCAGCCTCTGCTTTTCACTGTCTTGTTGCCTTTTCTGTTGTGACTGACACAGATTTTCCCTTTCAGCTCTTCCCCCTGCCAGTTAATGCCCAGCCACGACATCTCTGCTGTGTACTGCCACTGCTGCTGCACAAAGGGAGCTCCTAGGCTTTGCTGAAGGAAGATGGCTTTCTGGACGCAGCTGGGATTGCTGCTGTGGAAGAACTTCACCTACAGAAGAAGACAGACTGTAAGTATTAGCCAAAGGGTTTTTTGAGGTCTACGTCGTAGCCTTGTAGCTTACTTTTCAAGGAAAACAGGGAAACATGCTGTATCTTGATGTTTTGTCTCTAGTGGCCTCTGGTAGAGCAACTGGTCTGCCTTCAGAAAGAGCCAATCCAAACTGGAGAGAGTTACAGGTGAACAGAAACCAGAGGGCTTGAAAGTGCTCAAGACTTCTGCCCTGAATCCCAGTGTGAGAGTGTCGGAGTACTGAAAGACTCATGTCAGACCAGGCAGAGAGAGGGCACGACCGCTGTGTGCAGCAAGGAAGGTGTAAAATACAAACCTGTGCTATGACCTGCACTACAGGTGGAGCATTGCCGGGCTGCAGGAATGTGTGCTTGAGTCTAAAACTTCTGAATGCTGCAAACTGCAACAACAGCAACAAAATTCTTCCATTTCCTAGTGGCTGAAGTGGTGGAGGCAGTAGCAGCCATCTTCAGTCTCTTTATTTAGGGAGAGAAACCTAAGACTGTTGTGTAACTTCACAACAGGAGGTATAGTTTAAGTGACTGGCATAAGACATGTTCTTACATTGGCATGGAGACAAATCCAGACAACTGATATTTTTCTACCAAGGTGTGTTCTGATAAATTTAAGCACTGACCTCGCCATCTGTTAGCAGTATGGGAATGTGCCTGTTCAGACAAAAGCACAGGAACATGAATCCAGTATGGCGTTCTTAAAATTATTCTGTATTTGCATTAATGAGACCTCACAGGATGCACTAACTCCTGCAGACAGCTAAAAGCCACAGAAAACGTGCTATTTCCCCTCCAGGGATTTAAGGGATAACGGTGTTGGACAAGGGCATGTCCTGTACAACAGGCTTGTGCAGAGGATCTGTCCTCTTACATCTGACCTTGAGGAGGTATGAGTAGGGAATGTGAAGGGAACATGAGTTACTGAGGTGGTGAGTGGAAAGTGGTCTCTCTGATAAGCTTTTTCTGCACCCTGCAAATGTCAGGGTTCTTGCCAGCTGGTTGGGGCTGGGTTGTTTTAGAAACTCGGAGTCACAAGGGAAGGAAGGCTATCATATTCATCACTGGAGATGGAGACAGTTTCTGTAGTCTTTGCTCAGCTGTCTTAGGCTTGTTTTCATAGGAATTGTGTCCAGTGAATTCAGAGCTGGAATTCGTCCATTCTTAAGTAAAACCAGACAAAGGGGACTTGTGGCATCGTTGACTTTCCTGTATACCTCTGTGGTTACAGAGCTGCCAGTGATGGCGGGAATTTCTGTGATTTGCATGTTTTTGTCCGTAACACGGGTGCCTTGATCTCCCAGGACAGGACTGCCTAGCTGAGAGGCTGTGGGCTGCATCAGCTGCAAAGAGTGAGGCTGTCTGCTCTCTGGATGTTTTGAGGCAGCATCCTGACCATGTAAATAGCCTCATAATTCAGAAGAATGTTGCAATGGAGCTGGGGAAGGTAGTCTCAAAACTGGCTACAGCTCCTAAAAAGATAGGCTGTTCTCACATATTGCTCATGTAACCTAGACTCTTACGGGAACTCTGGGACATTAATGGATCCTCTGGAACCATACTTAAACTGGTTAAGCCAGGAGCAGATTTCAGAGGAGTTAAGTTTTACACTGAGGCTGATGGCTTTCTTTTTCTCAGGGTCTTCTGAAAATAATGCATCAGGTTTGAAGGCTACTTAAAGACATCTGAGTCTAGCATGCATGTCCTGTCAAGGAAGCTGTATGCTAGCCTGCTGGGCAGCAGATTGTGCATTTGTATCCTTTGGCAATGCCACAAAAACATGGTAGGTTAAGTGTGTGTCAGTGAAAAAGACCATCCTGCTTGTAGTTTCGTAATGCTCTTGGATCTGCTCAGCTGTTTCTCGGTACCTTCTGGCAGCTTCTGTATTGGTTTCCCATCAACTAGCCCAAAGAGTATGAAACTGCTCATAGTCACTGTTCCACACTGGTATTAGTCAATTCATAAAGAAGGCCTGAGACTTCTTGTTTTTGTGGGGTTCCTATAGCTGCGGGGTTTTTTCTCTTGAACAGTTCCCATTTAGGCTTTACCTGAAGATGTCAGGAAGGGAAGGCCACTTAACAGAAAATGGCAGAAAAGTAGCAGAATATCTGGTCTCACCATCCTGTTATCATGGCTGCACAGTCATTTGTCTATTTGCTCTGCTCGTAAGAGACCAGTCTCCTCGAGCTGGGTGTGCTGGTGATGGCACTCTCCCATTTGTACTTACTGAAGATGTAGCCCAGAAACAGTTTGATCCTTACCCTTCTTCCCACTAGAAGTGTGGGCTAGCCTTCGCTTCCCACTGAACCCTCTCCTTGGCTGCTGTGAGTTTGGGCTGCATTGCGAAAGCTGGGTTCAAAGCTCAGCCTGACGTGTGCAATTCAAGCGTTACTTTGTACTGGATAACTTCCAACAGCACCAACAGAGTATGGGGGGAAGGAGCTTACAGGGGGAGAGGAGGAAAGAAAAATCATGTTCAGGGGTCACTGTGTAAAAAACACTGCTCTCTCCCTGTGGTCTTAGATATGATACACCTCAAAGGTGCATGGAGAGACTGGTCAGCTGCTGGTAGCTCCCTGCGTTGAAACTGGACCATAGCGGTTGGGGAGGGTGGTTGACAATGAGATGATCGTTTAGTTAGTTCTTGCACAACAGATTTCCTGTTGACACAGTGTAGATTTCAATATTTAATGGTATCCTGCATCATCAGCCAACTGGTATAAATTGGGCACGCTTCAGGGACTAGCCTCAGTAAAATTAGGAGCAGTTTGTTCTTGGTCAGGTGCTGCCTCTGAGGTTCAACTACTGTGTGCAAATGGGATGTTTATCCTTCAACTCCAGACGGAGCAGTGGTGGCAGAGTGGCTGGAGGTTTGAAGATTCATTTCACTATTTACCAGGCTGGTCTAGTTGCAGCACAAAAGTGGGTGAGGAGACTTGATTTTTCAGTATCTACTTGTTATGAACCTGAGCGAGACATGGCCTCTTTAGTGTCTCCGTGTCCACCTCTGCAAATGCTGCAGTGGATGAAAAGTGCTATCACAGGAAGGTCAGGAAGCAGTAGGGGAAGGAACCTACGACCTTCAGGAGCAAAAGGAAGAGAATTCAGTTTTCTGTTGAACAGCACAAGAGGCTGGCCCGGGAGTCCAAACTCTATTGAAATGCTACTGACACATGGAGCCTGACCCCGTGCAAACCTCTGGTGCAGCAGTTGCCAGCTGCCTCTAAGTAGCATTTCACAGGCTGCTGTGATGTAGCAGTCTTCAGCTGTGAAGGTGCAACTCAGTCAGTCCAAGCTCTACCCCTCCTTTCTCTGTCCTCTCCGAGCCTGTGAATCTGCAAAGTTAGATGTGTGTGCAGAGGCATACAGTGCTGTGCACACAGCTTACGTTTGGTTACCTTTGTGATTGTGTAATTAACCATAATGAGGCATACAGAAGAGAAGCTATGTGTGCAGGTGGCCAGGCTCGCCCTTCAACAACAGGACCACTTGGGCACTACTGTCCACCCCAGCATGATGTGGCTGGGGCTGATATGTCTCCAAGCAAGCTAGGGCTTGATCTCAAGGGCAGCATTTTTTGCTGGTTCTGTAGGAGTTGCAGGGCTGCAAGAGGCTGTCTGGCCACCTTGGTCACCCTGAGAAGCCTCCACAAGCCCAGCTGACACTGCTTTTCCCCAAACAGTGTGTAGTGGCAGTCATTTGAGGTGCATCCTCCTTGCCTACAGGCAGGGTGGCAGAGCGCTGTGATATGTGCCAGAGCATGGCCATCGATGCTGGTGGAGGGAATGCTTTGTCCTGGTTTAATAGACACCATTCTGTCCAGAGGAGGAAAAGTCCTGCTATGCCATCCTGGCACCAGCTGGGAGGAGATCCTGAAAAGGGAAGGAGTAGACGATTTGTTGGTGTCCTGGCTCTGAGCATCTCTGACCTCTGGAAGCCAGACCACTATTTAATGCAGAAGGAAGAAGGCTCTCACTGTTAATGGCTGTGTGTGTGGTTCCACTGCATTGTTTATTGTAAAAATAGAGACCAAAGATACTGAGGCATCTTCCTGGAATCTTTCTTAGCACTGTCTCAGTGGTGTTTCTTACCTAGTAGTCATACAGTATGTGCATGAAAATAATGGGTGGGAAACAATATCCCAAACTCATCATGCACTGTTACCAGGAGTGCCTGGGAGACTCTGTTACTCAATTTTTGTCTTTTGGTTAGGGTTGCCATTTGGTTGGGCGTCAGCCATTAAGGGTATCTGTGAAGAGCCGTCCTAGATGGTTTCCTCTGCTGAATCAAGTGGCATTTGTTTTAATGCATGTTTTAATGCATTGTTTTTACAGTGTGAGGTTATTTTGAGGTACAGTAGTCACCTAGAAGTCTCATCTAAAAGTTTGCGTGAAGTGCCTTGTGGTGAGTGTCAAGAGCCTAATTTTAGCTATTAATGGTGTAACACAGGAAAACACATTTGCATGTGGGGATTTTCTCTGCCAGTGGGGTGCAGGTCTTACCCTGTCTGGCTTGTAATAAGAATGGTGTAGATAACTTAGTAGAAAAGTCAGGGTTTTCCAGGAAAGAAGGGGAGAAGATTTCTCTTTACTTGACTGAGAAATCACTCTGGTTTCCCTCTTGCAAAGGAGGAAGAATGTAAGAATGGCAGCATAAAAAGCTTTCAGTTTTTCCTTGTCTCATGGCTTACCTAAAATGCATGTTTAGGCAGTCTTTCTGGAGTGGGAAAGGAGGGGTGTGGCAGGAGAAGCTCAAGCCTGGGAAACCTCAGCTTCTCTCTCAAGGTCTAGGCTGAAGTGTTGCTTTGCCCACATGTTTCTGTGGGACATCTCGGTGAATTTTTGTGCTTCAATTTTCTGCCCCAAAAATGCTCTGCATTCAATAGCAGGCCTTTCTTATATTCTTTTCTAGTCCTGCTAAATAAGTTCTTTATATCTTTACCTGACACTCACTGTCTTTCTGTAGGTACCCTAAACCAGTGGGTGCCTATCTTTGGGAACAAACATAAATTAAAACAAATGATAACTAGGTATGAGCTTAATCTTAGTAGCTCTGCTTTCCTGATGCCATCTTCTGCAGCACTGAAATGTAAAGGTTTGGCATAGCTGTGCTTGGGCACAATTTCCATGCCTGATGTGTTAGGGTAGAAGCTCAATGGTGTACTGTGAGAATGGGATGCAAGTACTTCCCACTACCTCTAAAACACGAGGCCAAAAATTCAGCTTATTGCTGGGAAGATTCATTGGGAGGTTTCTGTCAGTCAGGGGACAAAAAGAACTATAAAAAGAAGCCAAAAATAGCCCTTAAGCGCATGCAGTTTAGTTCCATAACTGGCACATATCAATGAGAAAAGCCTGTAATTCTTTGCAGATTATTCTCTGAAGCTGGAAGAACAAACTTCTCGGTCCTGGAATGCATAGACAAAGCCAAGTGAGGCAGAGCTTGCAAAACTGTCCTGTCTTGCAAGTGGATTGTCCTAGAACCTCTGTTCTGTCCTGTATTTTGAATATGACGTCTTAATACTTTGTCTTTATTGTTTCCAGTTCCAGCTGCTGATCGAAGTTGCCTGGCCTCTGTTTATCTTCTTCATCCTGATCTCTGTAAGACTTTCATATCCGCCTTACGAGCAGCATGAATGTAAGTACTAAACACAGCAGCTGCACCCAGAATGGTTGGTTGTTGTTTCATGGTTAGAAGGTAATAATGCAGCTGGCAAGACACAGGAGCAGTGGTTGCATACTTCAGTCAGAAATCTTCAGGGAAGCTTTTATGGCTCCTTTACTTCCACCTTGGGGACTGCAGCATGTTCTGACATGTTAATGTTGCTCCAGGACTGTACACTGCTGCTGTTTTTCTTGCTGTTTCTATTTTTTTTGCATTTATAATGTATTAACTGAGAGTTTGCTGTAGACCTGTGACAAGTCTGCAAAACCCACACAGAACCCAAGTCTTATTTCTCATTGTTGATTTAGATGTGACATAGCATAAAAAGAAAGCAGCGTTCAGTTCTGTGAGAAAGCAATCTCATTTGCAGGCAATAATGTGGGTTAATGTATCGCGTTAAAGAGCACAGGACCAATTCCATTCTTTCTAACCATTAGACTGTCAACTCTGTATTCAGTAGGTTCAGCAGTCATACATTTGTGGGGAAAAACTGTTCTGCTTTTCTCTTTACATCCTCAATGGGCACATTTGTGCTTGTCTTTCAAAGAAAGCTTATTCTTGGTCTGCAAATGACAATCTTTAGGTCTCTGGTTGCCATTTGATTTAGGAAGCATTACTTGTTTATTAGTAACATGCTTTGTCTTACTGATTGGTGACAGCCTTTACTGCAATTAGCTGACTGTGGAAGAGCTCCGTGTTTATCTTTCCTTTGCTTGATTACTGCAAGGTAAGGTTTAAGGGTCAGCACAACATGATTCTGGAGGTCACTCTGAAGTGTTTCATTCTTAAAATGGGTAAAGAACTAGCACTTACAGCACTTACCCTGTGGTTCTTCGCAGTGTCTGGGCAATTTTATGCTGCTTACTAGGCTTTGAAGCTAGGAAGGATCCTTTCAAAGCTGAACTGTTGATGTTTTCAGTTTCCCATTACACTTTGGACACTGCTGGTCCCATGCAGTGCCTAACAGGGTAATTGAAGCTTCCCTAAATTAAATCTCATACTTTGCTGCATGACATTTGAATTACCTTTTCTGACTGAATGTCCCAGTGGCATTAGGAGAGATACCTGTAATGTGAACATGAAGCTGGAGAGAAGCAATAAGCAGTCTGCTCAGCTGGTGTTAATAACGAGCAGCCTCAATGGTAATTTGTCTCAGCTGTGGCAGTGCTGTATATAAACTCAAACCTAGCAAGAGCTACCTTTTCATAGAGCTGTTTAGATTGGGCTTGTTAGTCATTAGCCTCCTTGTAAAGCCTTTGCTCTGGCACCCTGGTGTCACAAGCAGAGTTTTGAGTCTTTCCCCCCTGCAGCCCCTTTTCCTTCACTTATGTTGACTGATGTTGTTTTGTCTGCCTTATCCTGTCATTGGGAATTGTAAAGTGTAAGGCATATGGTAAGTTTTTAATTCGCTTTTTATCGTTAACTCCTCTCCATTTTTCTAAAAGCTGCTGAGAACAGGTAACTATACTTCATTTAAGTCTGGATTGGTTTCATTGAACATTCACTCGTATGCGGACAGATATGGATGTGTTGTATAGTGGAACACTTTTTTTGCTGACCTGTAAGCAAAGATAGAAAGAAAGAAACCTTGAGTTCATGGTGAACTCTGTGGCAGCCCTGTGGATGCCTTAAGGGAAACAGGATTGTTATCTGTAGTGGCAGTACTGTATGCTGTTATGAAATCACTTGCAGGTAATGCTTGATGACAGCAGTAACAGAGCTGCATGCAACTGCTGTGTAGCTTCCAGATGGCCTTAGTATTTTAATGGTATAGTCTTTTTCAACAAACATATAAGACCTTCCGTTCTCTTTTTTTTTTTTTTTTTCCCTGTTTGAGGAGAAGAAGAACCAAGGACTGGGATGTTTCTGTGGTCATGCTTTCCAGTCAGGATTTTTTATTTCTAGCAGCTTGGCTTAGCGTGAGGAACCTTTTCCTGAAAACACGGGGAAATCTTGCTAGCTCTTAAGTGATAGTTACATGGCTTTCACCAGACAGCCAGAGAAGACATCTTAGATGCTACTGAGCAAGATTGCTGACTTTTGTCTTGTAGAGCTTGACTTTTCTTTTCTGTTCCTGTGACCCTTTAAGGTATTCAAAATGGACTTCATTTGGGGGAAAAAATATCAGACAAAAGGGACTTTAATCTTTGCTGCAAACATCTAGTTTTTCAGTTATGTCATTGAAAATGGTGTGCTGTTACACTGTCTTCTGTGCAACTTACCTGACTTAAAACTGGCAGATTCCTGCTTTACTCTTTGAGAAATGGCTGTTGTGTTCACCACTGTATGTAAAAAGTCACCATGAATTCTTGTGAGCCCTTCCACTTTTCATACTGCTTTTAATAGTTTCTTTGAGTTCTTAGCCATGTAAAATTAAAAGGCCTGGAGAGAGAGAGAGAGGATGATTCACCGGGAAATTTAACGAAAAGAATCTGAAAGTCTTAGCATTTTTCCTCTCCCCCTCCAAACCCCTCTCTCAGCCAATAAGAACAAAAATGCAAAAAGAAAAAAAAAAAAAAAAAGCCAGAGAGCTCAGGTAAATAGCTTTTCTATTTTAAACAGAACTGGGAACAAACAGTCCCCTGGGTACTGGAAACAATGAACCTTCGGTTCCTTCACCTTTCTCCTGGACAGAGTCCTTGGCTTTCTCCAGGGAGGACTGATAAGCTCTCAGTCTTCTTTCAACCACTTACATTAACCTACCTTGCTGTAATTCAGGAGCTTTGACCTCTCTTCCTTCTGGGGCTTTGGTACCTCCATTATGGCTGTGGAGGTAGGGAGCCAACCCCCTGTGTGATTGCAGGCACACCGTGAAGATGAGGTGAGCAGCAGAGGGGAGAGTGTGCATCATGTCAAAGTCTTGAGTAGCTGTAAGAGATACTGAGGAAGGGGCATAACCTTCTTCTGCACTCCCCTCCCTAGTGTGAGTGTGGGAAAGTGAGTTCGTTTGCAGAAAGCAACCTGACAGCTCATCTAAGGTGCAGAATTATACAAAGAAAGCCTATCTTCCTGTCATTGGAGGGTAAGGAATTCACAAGTGCCTGAGTGGCGTACTGGTGGAGATCTGCTACGAGTAGTTTGTTACTACTTTAACTCTTGATCAGAATGTACAACATAAACAGGACATAAGCTCTGGGCTATAACTGAAGTAGGTCTTCAGTAGCAAGAGTTAAACTTCAGCAAAAAGGTTTGAAATATGGCAGGCAGGTGCCTAAATGTTATTGGCTCCCTTCAGAGCTCCTATGTAGGCACCTACCCCGCAATTGCTGACCCTTTGCTTGGTGTTTACAGCGTGTGTAATTGAGGCGAGTGGATTTTGAAAACTAAAAGAACTGAATAGAGATATTGTGGGTCTTCAGAACCAAGACCCTGACTGGGGCTGTCCGTGTGGCCTCAAGCCAAATCCTTGTGTTAGTTAAGCATGTAAATCCAGAGAAGCGCAGCTGGTTAGGAAGCATGTGTGTGCATGTGCTCATCACTGCCAGGCTTTGGAGTTGCCTGCTGTTGGGCGTTCCTCAGCAAGAAGAACTATATCCCTATAAGTAATATATA